TGTCCTGGACCTGGGCCCTTCTTCCCCGCCTTCCCCGGAGCCAGGGAGGCTGGACTCGCTCCCCGGCGTGCAGGGAGTGCCTGCTTCCTTGTGCATTTGGGTCGCCTGCGAGAGCCAGAGCTCCCGGTCGCTGGGAGGGTGCCGCCGAGGCCAGGCAGCTGCCCGTTGTTGGAGTGCCTCTGGTGTGCCACGCCCTGGGCAGGGCACCGCTGCACAACAGAGGATCTTGACTTCTGGAACTTCCCATCAGACACAGAGCTAGCAGCACAGGGTTTTGCAGCCAAGAGGCCCTTTAGCTACAGTTCTGGAGGCTCTGGTGGCCTGGGGCAGAGCTTGGGCCTTGGGGTCAGAGGTGTCAGGCCTGGGCCCTGTGCAAGTGGCTTCACCTGTCGGTGCCCCAGGTACTTCATTTCTAAAGTGGGACTAATCACAGCGCCTCCCTTCCAGTGGCCTGAGAATCCAGCAACAGGGGGCGTGAGAAATGCTGAGCACGGTGCTGCGCACAGGCAGTGTTCAGTAAAGAACCGCAGTTCGGGTCAGCCCCCCTTCCCAGGACCCGCTCAAGCCCCCCTGCCCCCCCCCGCCCCCCCAGATGGTTGGGTGTCAGGTGAGCCTCTCACGGAGCCCTGGTTGTCCTAGGATGGACCTGCTCAAATGTTGCTCTTCTAGGTGGAGATGTGAGAACTTGGCCCCTGCTGAGGGCCCCAGGGCTGGCTGCCAGAGAACTTTGACCCTGGGTGTTCTGGGTTATACTGGGGGTAGGGTGGCCCTGCCAGGTGCTGGGCCCTACCAGCCTGCCTGCCCTTCCACCCCTCCATTCACCCAGCCAGTACCCACTGAGCGCTTCCTGAGTGCTAGGCCCAGGTCTAGCTCTGGGTTTAGAATGGTGAACAGGCGGATAAGTCCCTGCAGTCCTGGGCTATGAAAAAAGCCATTTTACAGGAGGGAAACCCTAGCCTGTGGCAGGGAAGGGACTTGGCCAAGGCCTCAACACTGTCCTCACTTCTCCGAGTGCTCACATTCTAACAAGCCAGGAGAAGGAAGCTGGCCAATGTGAGCAGCATGATGCAGGCTGTGATGAGGTACCCTGTGCAGGACTGTGGGTGCCCGAGGAGGGAGCTGGCTGAGCCTGGGGGAACCCACAAAGTCTAGCCCCTGCTAACTCTTCTGTGGCCCCCTGTACTTCGTACCCCTCATCACACTGACCCTTGCTTCCTTTATCCATTCTCCATTCATTTGCCGTTATTTTTGAGCCTAGTTACGTGCCAGGTGCTGTTCTGGGCTTGGGGCATTGAGTGTTGTGTAAAGAGACCCCGTCCCTGCTCTTATGGGACCTGCAGAGGGAGAGACAGACACAGCCTGATACCTACACTAACAAGCAAATCATGAATGATGCACGGTCACCTATTCATG